ACATCACTGTGACAAAGAACTCACGTCTCTCCATTGACGATGATGGAGTCCTTGGAGAATTCCACCACTGTCCCGTCCAGCTTCAAGGTGATCTTGCTGATGGCGGGCAGCTTGTCCACCACCTGGCGCCTCAGCTGGATGTTGAAATCCTCATACGTGCTCTTGCAGTGGGAGGTCAGGATGTAGTTGCAGGTGGACGGCAACTGGAAAACGTCCCCATCGAAGGTCTTGAAGTGGTAGTTACCCCATGTGCTGCAGACCTGGCCATTGTGCGCTGGGCTCACGCCTTGGGCAAGAAAGACTAGGGATGTCAAGCAGTATTCATCATCCAGGATTGCACTATTAAACAGTGCACTTTGAACTGTTCATCTGGGTGTCCATTTATCAATGCCAGTAAATGCACTGTGTAGACCTTACCTCCTATTGTTGTTATCTTGGTCATTGAAGGGATAATTGTAACCTTTTTACCAGGAATAGGCGGGCCATCTGACAAATTAAAAATACAAATTAGCCAAATAAATAGGAAAAGTTTATTATTTATCATCTGTGTGGCATGTATTTATCATGTATTTGTCATGATAATATCTGTAGAATGTCTCTCAATCAAACAGGCAGAAACCGTTTCTCATCTTAGAGTTTTAACATCAGGGGAAACCATTTAAATACTTCTTAAAGAAATGTAGTATTTTCAGTTTCAATGAGAAAATTCTATGACATGTGAACCATATTCTTCTATGTCTCTCTTTTCTTTCAATTATTTTCTTTTGCAAGGTGTTGAAATTAAAGTGTCCTTGAAGTTCAGGTGTTTGGTGAATTACCTGTGGGACCACCATAGTCATAGTCTTCAGTCTGTTGCTGAGTTTGTTGCTGACTGCCTGTGTAGAGACAGAGAGTTTTGAATGGATGCTTCCTGAACTGTGTTCAGGGTGGAATACTGTATGTCCTTAGACTAGTACATTTCAGTGATTAATTAAACACATTATAAGTGAAGTATTATATTAAAAAATATATAGTTTATTTTTAACAAAGCAATGTAAGAGTGATTACATAGACTTCGAGCAATCAGAAGAGTTTGTTTTTTCAGGTGCATCAGAGTTAAATATTAGTCTATGCTTTATCTGTTAGTACTACCCTCCTGTAACGTCCAGTTTTTTGTTGTTGTTGTAATATGTTCTTACAGTATCCTCATTTTAAATGAATCAGGGGCACAAATAGCTTTAAAACTAAAATAGCTAAAAAGTCATTAGGTAGATTTAGAATTCATCACCCTTTTT